CCACCAATAGAAATAAGATAATATTAAACAACATACCAGCCATCATCTGGGCCACCAATAGAAATAAGATAATATTAAACAACATACCAGCCATCATCTGGGCCACCAAGAGAAATAAGGTATTGTTAAACATACCAGCCATCATCTGGGCCACCAAGAGAAATAAGTATTGTTCAGATGCTGAAAAAACTACAGCTTCCACTTTGACTTTATGCAACTCGTGTCCAGCCCACTCTTGTTGTTTCTTAAAGTCCCATATGATAACTTTTGCCTGTAATAAAATAATAAACTAAGTATTGATTTGGCCACTTTACTAGAAAGATATGGCAGATAGTAATATTGACCAGCAACATAATTCACAAAAAGTGGCTTCATCAAACATATGATAGCTATGAACCATAGTTGGATACCATGATGTGACCAATTTTCTAAAGATTTGAATGCAATACACCAATGGCACTTTTATTTTCATAAATCAATTTGTAGATAATAAGTTTTCTTTACAGTTAATAATTTTTTTATTTCATGTTTGTTTGAAATTTCACCAAGAAAATTTTTCTAACACAAAAAACAAATTGTTAAGATTTTCTTAATAATGGTTGGTTATTTATCTATTACTGATTTATACTTCAAAACATGCACATGAGAGAAACGTGTGTCATACACAATTGACCGTTTATTTCATCCTAAAAAAGAAATTTTCATATAAAGAGATATACACATTTGCTGATATAAACTCACCTTAAATCCCATAAAATTTATCTGCCCTGAAGCTAAATACTGGCCACTCTTGGAAACAGCCAAACAGGACACAGAATTGGTATGGCCATTTAAAAAAGTGAAGTTATTACGGGTGATATCTTTTATTACGATGGTATTTCCCAAGGCATATATTAAGTTACTGCAGTCATGATGCAGTTTCAGCCCCCCTTTCACTTTCCCTGTAAAATAAAGAAAAAATTATTAAAATTACAATTCATTTTAGGCTGGATTTTGTTCATTACCAATGATAATGTAAGTTTTATTAAATTTGAAAAAGATTAATTAATTCTTTTGGCTGAATAACATCTTGTAAAGTTTATCCTTATTGTAGACATTTAAATTACTGGTGAGCTGAAGTCAGTGTTCGTGAAAATTAACAAAAAAGTTGATAAAAATACATGCATGAACTTTGTTATGGTGATCTGAAGTTATTTTGTGTACATTACAAGCTGTTAGTCTATGTAAAATTTATTTAAGTACAAAGTAGTATTAACTTCAAAATTCATTCCCTCACTTATTACAATATTAAGAAAAAAACCAACAAAAAATGAAAAGATCCAAAAACATGCAATATAAAATTTTCAAATATATTGTACCACATTTAAAGCTGAAATGAAAATTATGAAGCTTACATGGTAAAAAAACATGTTTACATATTCCACCAAAATATAACAGTTAATCACTGGTAGATTAGAAATTTTTATTGTTTCTCATAACTACATTGTTAGAGTTATTTATCATAAACGTATGTGGTTTATAGCCTAAGTTTAATGTTATGACTAGGTTAGCTTTATTGGTTTCTTTTAAACTAATTTATGATAGTTAAGAGCAAGAAAATGTAGCAATACTACTAGCATTAATTATTATGGTAAACAGCCACCATAGTTTAATAAATATTGAGCATATTTTTATCTCTGTGTTGATCTTTCATGATAAAAATGTTTTTATCTTATGTTTACAAGGGTTTATGGATGACATGTAGTGTTATATTTGGGCTATTTCCTGCAGAGCAGTCAGAGCTCACTAACTGAAGGTTCAAGATATCAAATTACAGAGTATTGTTTGTGTCTCTCCAAACTCCGATCGAGCTCGTGGAAAAGAGAAGCAGTACCCAAGATGTCAAACAACATTATTTATTTAATTTCTGTAGTGCATATTGGTGTATAGAAGACATTGATACTAGAAATAAACCATCTTATAATGTTGTTTTTATTTAATTAGACACTCAATGTTTTGTTTTACAGCTCTTCTGAAGCATTAACTAAAACAAACTTAAACTGATGGTACAAAGCTTCAAATGTTTTAATAATAAATTCTCTTTAATTCTATAGTGTGCATTTGTACTTAATATGTCAAAAACATGCTGTACAAATGCACATTATAGATTTGAATATAATTTATTATTTGAAGCTTTGTACTGTCAGTTTCAGTTTGTGTTTTAATGAATGCTCCTAAAGTAACTGTAAAGTGAAATTCTGAGTGTCTAATTAAATAAAAACAACATTTTGATGTTATAAGGTTGTTTATTTCTAGTTTATTCACAAACATAAATCAAGATACAAACATAATAAACAAAACAAGATTAGCAAGTGAGTGTGTAGAAACATACAGTAAACTTTATTAAATCTCTCTTAAGCCCCTCAAAGTTAAGATAAAATAAAATGAAGTGAAACAAAGCTAACCCCACCTTAAATCAGGGTTTAAACAAAACAAAAACACTAAACTCCCATTTAACTCAAAATAATTGAGTGTAACAGCAAGTGTCTGCAAAATTTAAATCTTCAACATATCACAAAGCTGAATTCTAACTATTAAACTTTGAATCAAAACTAAAAGAAAAGAAGACCTGGCTTCCTATACAAAACAACAAATAGCCAGGTTTGCTCATACAATTAACATCGTGCATGTGACCTTCATCCACTGTAATTGAAGAAGTAGGGCATGGCAGCAAGTATTGAACTCACCAAGAGAAAAGACAGCTGGGTAGTAATTTATTTACTTCATGTTATTGCAACAGGAAACTTTTTCAGCCCTTTTGTAACACACGTTAATACAAAAAGTGAAAAGTTAGTAATTTTTGTAACATATCCATCTCTTTTTTTATGACTTCACATCATGTACAGTTTACTATTTTCTCTGAAGAGTACCACACAACCACATGTACTTATAGTTGAAAAATATGCATCACATTACAGTATATTTTATTTAACTTAGGTAGTACTACATAGAAATTCAAAGGAAGGGTTTCTGAGATCTAACTAAAACTAACAACATTTGAAGTATATTTTTTTTTCATATTTAATATATGTTATTTATAAAATCATATCATTACCACACAAAATTACTTGAATATACTAACTGTGTTAGTAATTTTACTTCAAAAACAGCCACTAAAACACATTTCCCTACAATTCAATCACAACTTTAAATGTGTTTTTAACCTGTTTATTTAATATAATGTTTTGAAATGAATTTTTAACTAAAACCCCTCTGAGTCAACAGGTTTTTACAAACTCATTGAAAAATAAAAACTGTGGTATTTTTGAAGGAATAAAAACAATTCAATTACAAAACTTCACTTCTATGTTCCAAAGAACAATGAACAGCTTATTAGAGTTCATTTCTTTAGAAATTAAAAGTTAAACCTCAAAATAATGACAATGATTCTTTTATAGATGATTCAAGCAGTCTTTGTGATGATCAAAGTTAAAATGGGCTTTATTTGTTCAATTACACCTAACCTCAGTTGCAACTACAATAGTTGTGTATAGAGAATAGTGCTATACCTTTGATTTAAACTTTAAAGGCATCAAAATGATAAAATAGCAGGTTCACTCTCTAACGTTAATCAATACGTAATTGATAGAACAATAATAAAGTACTTTCAGATAAAAACTGTTTTGAAATTTCTGCATAGTTTAACAGCTCTTTTCTGAAAGTTAAAGCTGTTACAACATTCTTTATCAAGCTCATGTGATAAACGTCTGAAACTGTAACAAGAGCATATTAAACCAACAATTACAAAGAACAACCAACAAACAAATGTTATAAATTACAGAACACAATAAAAGTACAACACAACTTTGACTTTGTTTTCCTTCACAAATTGTTTTGTTACAATGCATGCATTGAAAATTTTTATGCCTTTGTCAATGAAATTAAACATTTACTGAAATGTTGTGAGTCAAAAGACTGATCTACGATGAATAACTACCTTCAAAACCAATAGTTGCTAAAAGTTCAAGTTCAGAAAGTCCTTCTTGTCCTCCATGTCTTGACATGCTTCAATCAAACCAATACAAGAGATAATCATTAGCAATTTACTATTTATAACTACCAATTGAACTGAAGTTTCATATTATTGTTACTGCTGTACAGTTTTTATTTTAACTCTTTACCTATGCATACATATACAAATATAGGTATTGGTTTGTTAATTCTGATTAGGACTAAGTCACTAGTTTAAAAATGCTTAAAAATAGGTTTTAAATTAGTCAAGAAACCTACTAGAAACAATGCTATTTTAGATTTATTGTTAACTTCAAATATAGAAATGATTGAGAGGGTGGATATTGTGAAACTTCTGGTACAAGTGATCTTTGCTCTATTAGGTTCAATGTTTTGCTTCGTATGGAGATAAGGAATGATGTTATTTTGGTTGCAAATTTTGAAGGGATGCAACAAGAATTATCTGTTGTGAACTAGGCAGCTTAGTTATTTGGAGACACTGATCAGATGTGGAAAATTTTTAAATATTCAAGGTAAACATATTCCTTATAGAAAGAAAAGGGTAGCTGCAAGTAAAAAAACAGGTTGGCTCACAAAGAGTTTAAGAGATTCAATTCAAGAAAAGCATCATAAATTTAAGAAATTGAAATTGACTGGTATGACAGAAGATTTAGAAGATCAAGAAAGTTGGTGAAACAAGAAATTAGGACATCAAAATTAATTTTTTTAATTTACATCAAGAACTTAGATGAAGGAATGGTCAATAAGGGGATTACATTCTTCAGATGATATTAAGGTCTTGGGTGTTGCTAACTGGGAAAAAGGATGCTGCTGATTTACAAAAGGATTTAGATCATTTAGTGAGTTGGACAAATAAATGGCAGATTGGTTTTAATTATAACCATTCAGAGGACATTTACTAGAATGGTGTCTGGGATGGAGGGGTTGAAGTTGAAATCTTTCAAATTGTTTTCTCTTTAAAAAAGAAGAGTTAGGGGGGGATCTGATTGAGGTGTTTATGATTGTAAAGGGAATTGATAGTGTTGATGCATCATCTTTTTGTTCATATTTAACAGTGAGAATAATAGGACTAGAGGACACAAGTATAAATTTTGGCACGGTAGGAGTCATCTTCAGCTAAAACAGTTTTATTTTTCAAACAGGGTGGTTGCCCTATGGCATAGGTTGCTATTGGATGTTGTTGAAGCAGTAAATTTAAGTGAGCTTAGGAGAAGGCTTGATAAGTATATGAATGATAAGGGTTAGCTTTAAGATTTTTTAAAATTTATTTATTACTAGTTTTAGTTTAGAGAATGGAACAGTCAAGATGGACCAATGGGTTCCATGTTATCCCAAAACGTTAGGTTCATTTCTCACCCTTATATTGTTTTTATGGTCTAATTTTACCTTTTAATACATTTCATGCAATACCCTTTGAAGTGATAATAATAATAGATACGTTTCAGTTTCAAATAGTTGTGGTTACATAGTTTTACTAAAATATTTTTTTATTTTAAAATGTATTATATCAAAGCATCTTACCTAACTACAACTAGTACAACTAACTTACAGTTCTACGCTATAAACAAATATTGTTATTGGTTTAACATTAGCAAGTTATGATTGTAAATATTAAGTTGAAATGTTTTTTTTTCTTTTTCTAGTATGGACTAAATTTAGTACTAATTCACACCTACTATTAATGCTGCAAAGAGAATTAACCTTAACAAATTTACCACTGTAGTATTAGTATTAGGCCCTACTAGTACTAGGACTACTGCCAGATAATCCAGTAGTAATAGACTAGGCCTATATAGTTTTAACTTTTATACTATAGTTGGTTTTTCTGATAACTGAAAATATCTTGGTTTATATTATTACTTCGTATGACTCCGGATTTCATTAAAAAACAAACTCTATAATTGCGTTTTATAATTAGACCATTTAATGAAAATAAAAAGTGGAAAGTTGATATCCGGAATATTACTTATTAACGTTGATGATGAACTCACTGCGTTAGTGTTTGTAAACATTGGTGGTTGCTCAGCAACGACTTGCCTGCACTCTTCGAAATACATAACCGAAATAAAATTAATGACAAAAATACAAACTGTTTGCCCCTAACGAAAAAAGGTCCACCTTGTGAAAGCGCTCAGGTTATGGGGTTTTGTATTTTTGTCTTTAATTGAATTTTTGAACCTACATGATTTCCTAACGTCGTGAATCACCCAAATCAAATAGTGAATATGATTTTGCTTATTATTTAGCGCAAAACTTCACATTGGGCTCTCTGCGCTCTTTTAACCGCGGGGAACATAATCGTAGATTTTAGCATTAAATGTTTGTAAACTTATCGCTGGCTCACCAGGACATTGAACATGTTTTCAACAAAACGTTGTTTTATCTTTTTCACAGAAGCTAGTATAATACAATAAATATTCAGTTTTAGCGCGCAATATATATAATAAAGTACGTATGTTTGGTGTACTACATTTTACAAAAAATAAGAGTAATGTGCAGAAAGAAACTAAATATATAACTAAAGTTTCCTGCATCATCGAATATTTTCCTGTTTGCAAAAATAAAATAACTGAACGGCATTTTGTGCATAGCCATTTTTTTTTTTTTTCCTATTTTGAAAAAACAAAAATCATCTTATAGGTTTGTCCAGGATTTGATACTTTAATTTTAAATATTTTTTGCAAATAAAAAAAAAGGATGAAAATAAAATTTATGTGCTTATTCTTCTAATTTCAAATATTTTATTCCAGATTTTGTTTCGAAATTAAATGGAGTTTCCAAATATAGATTTCACTTAATATTTTCTAAGACTTCCTATAAATTATGTTTAAAAGTATCTTTTTTTCTGGTACATACTTGCTTACATAGTACAATGTCTGTTCTTAGAATTTTGGCGCAAAGCTACACAAATACTACTGTAAGTTGCCGCTCCATATTTTGAGTTGATAAACTAGATGGAAGATAGTTAGTCAACAATATCCACCGCCAACTCTTGTCTGACCAAACAGCAGGTTTTAACCATCGCTTTTACAACACATCCACAGCACCAAATTGCGGAGTGCATTTCTGCAGCAACAGGAGGCGAACTATGAACATTCTGATTCATAGTCCGGACATACTAACTACTGGATCACGCCCGGCTCTATACAGAATACAATACCTAGGTATGGTTTTCAGACTTGACATTATTCTCAATAATAGAAAGAGGCCTAATGTTACTTTTGATTCTTTACAAAGTATGAAAGATGCTGGAGAGCAACCTTTATTTAGTTTACTATTAAGATCGACACATCTTGATATTACCTGCTGTTCACAAAAGATCGCATCACGCTAATGATCATTTGCTAGAATTTTTCTTCTGTTTTTGGGTCTCTCCAGATTTCACCAAAAATCACTGGTTCCGATTCCATTCCCGAATACTACGAAGTTTAATAGATATAACTTTTAAATAACCAGAAAGGCTTGTGCGCTACTGACTTGGGTTCAGATTACTACACCACCATGGTAAAACTGTCTATCATCACCACAACGAAATTAATCATTCGACTAAAATAACTGACCAAGAATACCAACATTTTACGTTGTTGTCAATAATACGATACTACCCCTCTAACCACAAGGTGAGTAAATACCTCCGTATCTGTATGGTACAAATACTCATAAAGACGGTTTTCCTAAACACATCCAGCTGCTGGAGTTCTGGTATGATAAAGTTGTGCAGTCACCGAGCCCCAGGGTATTTGTTCCTCAAACTAGTCTGGCCCCCACTATAAGATCGGCAGTAAACCACCCTACATGGTGACTTGGGTGCAAGGGTTGCTCAGCTGTGGATTCTCATTGGTTCAGATAATACAATCATGGATATGATTATACAAGCTTTTCAAAACAATTTATATCAAAAATGAGAGGGGTGACAAAAAATCACAAAATAGTTCAATATTTACTCACTTCCAAACTTTGTCAATATTCAGTCAAATTTAATGTTCAGGATCAGTTACATTTAACTGAACAGATTCAGGGTACTTTCACACGAAAACAAAATAACGTTCAGATGTATTATATAATTGATAGTTTAAACATAATGACAAGTTAGCTATGGGTCCCCCTCCTATATCCTTTGCTTGCAGAAGTTTTTATAGTTAACTTAAAGAAATTGTTTAGTGATAAAAATAATATAAAACATGTTAAATATTGGCACAGATATGTTATTAATGTAATTTGTCTTTGAACAGGCTCCAAACGTCAACTTGATAATTTTGTAAATTTTTTAAATTCACAAAACATTTTTTTTTTTAAATTTACCATGGAATTTGGTGAATTAATATTCTGGACTTAAATGTTGACATAAATAACGGCACATATTCCTTCAAATATATAAGAAAACCGACTTATAGTCACACGTGTACCCTTGTCATCTGAAGTTCATAAAACTTACTGTAACAATATACTGGTCAGCGGGAGATATTTTCAACTTGGTAATGTCTCCACTGTGGCCAATACCAACATGTGTTACTTCTCCTACTTTGATATTTCCACACCTTAAAAAGAAACATTAGCACTGAATTTAGGTATAGTTAAGAACATTTTACTTTAGGGCTTTGGTTATTTATACATGAATTCCAGTAAGGTCTAATTTCCCCAGACTGTTGGGACATATTTAGAAGGTCAATGGAGGTTTGTCTTTTACCTTTCTTCTTCACTAACATTATGTGCTATGTACAGTAAATGATGGTTTCATATTCACTACATACCTTCCTATGTACCAAGAAAACACAGGATATAATTATGTATCACTGGGTGTAGGTTAAAATGGTCAACTGATAGAACTACCTTGCTTCACATCGAAAGAAACATAAAAATTATTTTAAATTTTACTACTTTTTTAAAATATCATTTTATGTTTGGTTGACTCACATATCATGACCTTGAAGTTTAGTATTAAGTAATCCCTAAACCATG